GCTTTGGCACAGGTTCAAGAAGCCATGTCCGAGCAGGCTGCGGCCAGAGCAGCCACCGTCCAGACATGCTTGCCACACGCAGTGTCAGGCTGGGAAGCGTGAAATACACCCGACTCCCCAGCCAAGACCTGCCCACACAAAGCTGCACTGGTGTAATTTCACAACGATGTAGTTATCTGCGCATGGACTGTCTTAAATCGACTACAACCCAGCGGGTATTGGTTCAGCTCGCACTGGGAAATGTACAGGTGCAAGTAAAGCCACTAGAACCACTTTTAAACCGATATAGGTGTGTCCACACAGAGGTTTAACTATACTGGTTTTCAATCTGATTTAAATTAAACCAGTGCAACTTCAGTGCCTGTGTAGATAGACTCTAGGGAAAGTGCCCTTTTTCTGCTGGGTAAAACTGACAGGCAGTTTTGCCTTACCTGTACTTTGCATTGTCCAGGTCCTGAGCTCTTTACTTCATCCATACTCAGAGAAAATCCCTCCTGACTCAATGGAGAGATCTGCCTGTGTAAGGATGCCCAGATTTGAATTTACTGTGCATGGTGAGACCAAGCCCCAGAGGACCCGGAGAGCCCAGAAAACTATAGCAAGAGGGGACTGGAAAGTGGGGCTGGGGGAAAGTGGAAAGAAAGAGGGCAAGATGGAGAGGAAAGAAAACCCCAGAACCCACTGACAAAAGAGGCCTTGTCTTTATTGCTTAAGGCACCGATTCAGAAAGGTCCTTAAGCATGAGCCAAACTTTAAGCACGGACGTAGTACACTGGGATTACTCGCATCCTTAAGTACCTTGCTGACTTGGGGCCTAAAGGAGGAAGCCCTGAGCAAAGCCACAGAGGTTGAAGAAACATCCCCGGCCTGGCCGCAGCTGGTGTGGAGCCAAAGTGTTTCTGTTTGCACGCCCATTGCACCAGCGCTACGGCTCTGCAGCCTGCCCCTCCCCAAGGGCTTTACCAACCATCTAGGCTGCTCTTTAATAACTGGCTCTCCAGGCTGGCCTTCAGAGTGGGGGGCTCTGAGATCACCCTGCCTTCTTTGTCCCATATCTCCCTGCAGTGCCTGATTGACCAGCAGGGCTTTGCACTGAAAGGTGCATATTCCTAACTCTCACTGTCCTGGGGAACCCAGCTGCACTTCCGGGCTGAGGAACTATCAGGGGACTCGTTTCTGGTTCCCATCGGCAGGGGACACTTTCTCCTCCTGGTTTCAACTCAGGCATTCTCCCATGAGTCATCACGTTCCCACCATGGCCGGGGGGCAGGGGGGAGTGAAAGGTGGTGAAAGCTCCTTCATCCCTCAAATCTCTGTGGAGGATGAATCTGAATAGCTCATCCCCTTCTAATTCCATGCAGCAGCTGCATGGGACTCTGATGGCCCTTAGCCCCATGACTGATGGGAGGACGACAGCACTGAGCGAAACCCTATGCCGCTTGTGCCATTGTTTTCCTGGAAACCGCCGACAACAATTGCAGCGCTCTGCAGTTGTCGAGAGGGCCGCAGAGCTTCCACCCTGCCCCAGCCCAGGCCAACAATGGCTTTTCTGTTTCCACGGGACCGAGCTCTTTCCACGGCACAGGGGACACAAGGATTCCTAAGGTCACGGAGAGGCTGTAGCTGGCCTGGATCCCGGGCACAGGTCTCAGAGCCGTATAGCCCACATCTGTCCCCCGTTGTCTTGGCTTTCAAATACAGGTTCTCTCTCTACCCACATCAACGGCAACAGCATTCTCAGTGCCACTTCCTCACACCACGGCTGTGCAGGAGCCTTCTCCTCTGCAGCTCAGCTCACCTGGGAGCTGCCTCCCTGCATCCCCCCAGCCCATGAACTCTGCCCCTGGAAACACGCCGCTCCCCACCCTGCTGTCCTCCGGCCTGGCACCGTTTCCTCTCTAACTCCCCAGCCTGGGTTGCCTGGAAGCTGCTCCTCCAAAGGGAGCTGTATTAGGCTTGCAAGGGAGCAGAAGGGAGTGAGTCTAGCCCCTGATGATGATCTGGATCCCGGCACTGGATGTGGCCGCGACCGTAGGCCCAGATTCACTCCTGAGCCAGCCCTCGGAGCAGGAGTTCAATGGAGGGGGTTGCACCTCCTCTACTCAGGAGCTGCTGGAGCCTGGTTCCAACAGCCCCTATGGGCCACTGCAGAGGCAGAGTCTCTCTGGGGCACAGGACCATCCAAACCACTTCCTTTCCCGCCATGGACACGCCCTCGATCTTCCCCTGGCCTGCCCCAGAATCCCTTGCGCCTGGGCCTCCTGCCCAGGGGATGCAGACTGGGCCGTGCTTCCTGCCCAGGGCCTTTTGCTCCGGCACTATTTCCTGGGAGGCTCTTTCCCCCCCTTTGCATCCATGTCCAGGGCGTGGAGCAACAGGAGCAAGTTTCCGCTCTGCTTTTCTGGCTGCTCTGTGACAGCGGTGAGATGGGCACACACCACGGCAGGCCGCACAGCTCTGATCCATGCCTAAGAGGCTGCCTAGCAGCAGGGGCCGGAAGAACCCAGCAGCTGAAAATATCCTTATCTCTCCCTGTTGCTCGTTGTGCGGTCAGTGACTCCACATTGCACATCTCTGCAGCTGCTTTCCCTGCCATGCCGCAGGGCTGCCCTGGGCACCACTGACCAGCACAGGGAGCTGGGGACGCCCCTTCCTGCGGCTGATTTTGACTGTGCACTGCACCACCATGCTCTCACACACACAGGTACACCCACTTCCTCTGTGTGTGCACACTGCACAGCCCTGTGCACACCTTGCACGCTGCACACCCTCTCACACCCTGTGCACACCCACTCACTCCGTGTGCACACCGTGTGTGCCGCACACCCGCTGTCAAGTTGGCACGGCAGAGTCTCTTCAAAAGGGGTTTTCCTGCTGGTGAGAGGTGCCCTAGCGGAGGCCCCTTTATCCACAGGAGAAGGGCACCCTGGGTGCAGGGCGAGCTTCCCCACACCCGGGCTCCCACCTTCCACCTCTAGTGGTGAGAGGATAGTTCAGGCTCCGAGCCCCACCCAATCCTTGGCCTCTGTTGAGACCCACAAAAAGAGGCTCGGGTAGGACGCTGGCCACTCTTTCTCAGTTCTCCGGTGACGATTTGTGCTCGAGGGCTGGGGATAAGCACCCTTATTCCCAGAGCCAGACAGCCCAGCCTCGGGCAGGAGCGACCATCAGGGCTAAGGAGAAAATCCCGGGTAGGGTGTCATCTCTGTGCCGTCAGCCTTCCCTGCCGTCTGTCCCCTCTCTGATTATCACCTTCAAGTGCTTTAATTGAGCAGAGACCAGCGGAGAGAGAGCGTAAAGCACCCTGCATGCACACCCAGACACGCACGGGCCCATAAGTGCACACACAGACACATGCACATACATGGCTGTGCGCACGCAGCCTCACACACACACAGCCATTCACTGCTGCTCCTGCCCCTTCTCTTCACTCTCCCTCTCCCCATGAACCCAAGCCCAAGATCCCCAGGTGCGAGCCCTCAGGTGACTGCATGGGGTCTATCTCGGGTGGCTGAGGCCTGGCCTACCCTGGGGCTTGCTCCAGTTCCAGCCCTGGTACAGCTGCCTGGGCACAGATCCCTGGTGTGGACAAGATAAAACCCGTTTAGAGCAAGATCTGCACTGGGTTTCCCGGAGGGGTCAGCTCCACTGGTGTAAACAGCAGCTGGATCACAGCTGAAGCTCCCAGTGCGGGCAAGGCCTTTAACGGGAGAAGGTGACTTCCTCTCGCTCCATTCCAGGGTGGTGGTGGGTGGGGGGCAGTACAGAGGCCACGGGTAAAATCCCATCTGCATGAACAAAGCAGCCCAAAGCAGCATCCTGCTTCCTGTGAGCATGCCAGGCCCCGGAGGGGCAGCGCTGAGCGAGCTCGTCTCATGTGTCAGCCTGAAACCCAAGCTCTGCCTGAATAGACAGGTATGTGGGCAGCCTATTAATACCCCTGCGTAAGCCTGGCGCTTGCATGCCGCTGACGCACAGACCCAGTGACATGTTTTTGTCAGGCCGTGTGCCCAGGTCCCTTTGTGAGGGCAGCACCTGGCTCCTGCCTGGGGAAATCCTTGGATGGCATCAAGCTCTTGTAGCAGTTCTTATGTGCCCCCCCCACCCCAGCCTTCAGCATATTATGGGGAAGGGAGACACAGCTAGAGTGCCCCTGTGCCCCTCTGAGCTCTGGCTACCAGAACGGCCCCTCAGCAGCTGGGTGTTAGATAGAGAAGCCCTGAGGCTGCTCTAAGTTATGCTAGGTAAACTAGATAAATTCATGGAGGATAGGTCCATCAATGGCTATTAGCCAGGATGGGCAGGAATGGTGTCCCTAGCCTCTGTTTGCCAGAGGCTGGGAATGGGTGGCAGGGATAGATCACTTGATGATGACCTGTTCTGTTCATTCCCTCTGGGGCACCTGGTATTGGCCACTGTCGGTAGACAGGACACTGGGCTAGATGGACCATTGGTCTGACCCAGTAGGGCCCTTCTTATGTTCTTAGGGACCAACGTGGTCCCAGCCACCCCCAGGACTGGGGAGCATACAGGTGGAATAATGCCACCTTTGGCCTTCTCACTTCAGCCCTCTGATGAGCACAGCTCAGCCAGCTGGGAGGCTCCAGCCCAGTGACCGCAGTGGTGTAAGAGAGCCGGATCTGACCTCTGGTGCCCAGCCCGGGGGCTCCCTCTCACCCCAGACAGCTGCTTGCTGAGGCAGGGGCTCCGGCACCGCTTTGGTTGGTGCTGGTTCGTTTCTTCTCTAAAGAAGCAGGAGCCGACAGTAAAGCAGGATGGCTGGACAGAGCCCAAGCCCGGGCTGTGGGAGGTACGGTTTGCTCTCCATGACAGCAGTTCTGCTGTGTGTGTGTGTGTGTGTGTGTGACCTGCTCCTGGGTGTGGCTGTGTATGTGCTATGCAGACGTGTGTCACCATGCGTGTCTGTGTCACTGTGCGCCTGTGTGTCATTGTGCGTGTGCTCCCAGGCAGGTGGTGGGGCCTGGCACTGCCATACGTACATCTGCTGCCTTCTTCTCAGCCAGCTCCAGCTTCTCCTGGGCATCTTTCAGGGCCTCTGAGTATTTGTCCAGCTCGTCCTCCGTCCCCTTCAGCTTCTTCTGCATGGCCGCCAGCTCATCCTCCAGCTGCCAATGGCAAGAGGTGTCACTTACGGCTGGCACCTGGGAGCTGCTGCCCACCCAGCCACCCCATCTGTGCCCTCCGGGACGCTGAGCACCCCTAGCTGGGATCCCTAAAGGAGGCAAAGTCCTCCGTTTTGCTGGGATCCCCCCTGGCTTGCCCAGTTTATGCCCAGCGCTGGCCTTAGGCACAAGCAGACACTGCCTCTCATCTCCTCCCCCATGATCCGGATCTGCAATTCATGGGCAGTGGGATGAGTGGGGACAGGAGTCGGTTCTACATGGGCACAAAGGGCCTGACTCAGCTCACAGAGGCCAGTGGGGCTCCATTGACCTGGGTGCAGCCGCTCCTGGTTTGTAGCAGGGCAAGCGAGGGGAGAATCATGCCCCAAGTGGAAAGTTTCTTCTGCCCGGTGAGTGGGGAGCTACACGGGGCCCCGGTTTAATGGCTCCTGCAGAGCTGCCCTCCTGAGTCATCTCCCTGGTGCGCTGTGGCAGGATGTCAGAGCCCAGGTTCCGCTAAACCCCAGCATGGCACAAACCCACCTCCCATCCCTCCAGCTGCGACTCTGTACTCCGCAGCGGAGCTGCTGCTGCATCGCTTCCGGGGGAAAGGCAGGGCTGAGCTGGGCGGTGTGTGAAAGGAGGGAAGCTGCCCTTGTGGAACTGGAGCAGGATTCAGCACTGGGCACACGTTTGTGTTTGTGTGACCCACAAGCGATGGGGGTGGGTTTGTGAGTGTGGTATTTAGGGGGCACACAATCCATGGGGTGGGTGTGCTCAGGACACACTATCTGTGTGTGTGTACGCTGTATATTGGGCACAGAAGCCGTACCGTGCGTCTGGGTGCGGTACACAGCCACCTACCACATTCTCCCCCAGGTATGCAGCTCTACGTTGTGAGTGACCCCCTGGACTCCAGCACCGTGCATGGCCGTGCATGGACCTGTGCGTGTTTGCCAGGCTGGCGGTGTGTATCATGGGTATGGATGAGTGTGTCTGGAGCAGCGTCTGCGTGTGCCCAGGCATCCGGGAGTTGACGGGCATTCCCAGTTTGTGGACCAGTCCCCTCCCGGATCTGCTGCACCCCCGGGGCTCATGGCAGCACCACTTGTACCCACAGACTTGACTCCAGCGTGTCTGTGCCCAGGGCTGGAGGAGCCGAAGGCAGGTCCCACTCCGCACCCCTGAGGGACCCTGACACGCAGCACTCCTCCTGCTCCGGGGGATATGGGACGAGCCCCATCCCCGGCGGAGCAATAGGAGCCTCCCCAGCCTTCGAGTGAGTCTCCCCGAGGGGGAGCCGCTGGGCTCCTGGGGGCAGCTGCCTTTCCCTGGGGTAAGTGCCACTCTTGCCACGAGGGGGGCGAGGGGCTACTAGGTCTCTGGCCAGGGCAGGAGTCCACGCAGGGAGCCAAGGCAGGAGTCCGGGACAGGGAGCCAACCCCGGGGAGAGGGGTGGGTTAGGGACAGCGCCGGCCTCTCTTTCCCACCTGTTTGCTCCTCTCCTCTGCCTGCTTCTGCTCAGCCTCTGCCTGCTCAGCCCGGTCCAAGGCATTCTCCTTGTCCAGCTTCAGCATCTGCATCTTCTTCTTGATGGCCTCCATCTTCACCTGCGGGGCTGGGGCGCCTCTGGCTGGGAGGGACGAGCAGCGACGTGGGATGCGTCGGGCTGGGGCTGCCGAGTGTCTGGCCCCCTCCCTGGCTGAGGGTTTTATCAATACGCCCCTGACAGGTGGCTCGGGGCCTTTGCCTTTCTTGGGCTGAAGCCGCCTCCTCTCACTCCCGAAATGTCTGTCCACAGGGCCCCATTGTCTCAGCACCCGCCGGGGGAGCGTGGGGTGGGGGGATGCCTGCTCAGTGACTTCATGGACAGGGCCATATTTGGGCCCCCGTGGGACAGCTGGGAGATGGTTATAAAAAGCACAGGCAGCTCGGTGGGCTGGGGGTGATGGGGGGAGATCCCCTGCTCTTCTGAGAGTCACAGATCCCAAGGCCAGAGGCTAGCCCAGGCCAGAGACCTGCCCCCCTCTCCCCCCCAAACTCCAAGGGCAAATCTTCAGAAAACAGCCAATCCGGAGTCCAAACGCAGCCATGATGGAGAATCCCCCCAGCCCCCTGCCTTGGGACATTGTTCCCGGGGATAACGCCCTTCACTGACGCTGTCCGACATTAACACCTTGGGTCCAGGGTCAACTCCCAGCCCTGGGACTGTGTCAGACCTTCGGCAGGTAGACTGAAGGGCGAGACATCACTGATCTGTTCCCCGTATTGGTTCTTGGTGTCAGGCGAGCTCATGCTCTCCTCCCCAGGGAGAGCTGCTGGGTGAATACGGACCTTTCTGGCCCTCTCTACAGGCAGCAGTCTGAACAGAAGACTGGGAGCCAGGACTCCCAGCTGCAATTCCCAGCTCTGGGAGGGGAGGCCAGTGATTAGAGCTGGGGGGCCTGGGAGCCAGGATGCCTGGGTTCTAATCCTAGCTCCGGATTGGAGTCTAATGGTTGTGTGGGGGTGGGGGGGCTGGGAGCCAAGACTCCTAAGTTCTATTCCTGAACAAGGGACTCTTTCTGTGGCCTTAGGTGAGTCCCTTCCCCTCTGAGCCTGACCCTGGCTGGCTTTCCAGGGGATTCTCCCATTACCAGATAAAGCCCTTTGCAGATGGAAGGTGCCATATGAAGGCTGAGCGCCATGGGGCCCTCTCCTGCTCTCACGCACCCTCAGTGGGGCTGCGCCGCACTCACCCCACTATTCCCGTCCCACTGGGGGGAGCCAGCCATTCCACAAGCTTTATAAAGGGATGTGGCAAAGCGGCCCGATCCCGCTCCTTTCGGCACCAGTGGGGAAGGTCCTGGGGGGCCTGCAGGGGAAAAGGGCAGGGAGCCGCATAGCGAAGTCTGCAGCTGGCGAGACTCGCTGCCCATGGGGTCTCCTCGGTTCTGTGGGCAGCACAGCTCCTGTGTGGGGCCTGAGCCAAAGCCTGTGGGAATGACTCCGGCTGACCTGAACGGGCTTCGGCTCAGTCCCAGGACCAGGTGCCCCTCTGCACGGCCCTGACCGCCCAGGCCTGACATTAGTGCTGGCCCCTGGGCATGGCCGAGGTGCTGACCTCCCTGAGATCAAACAACAATGGCATGAAGGCGGCCCCACAGAGAGAGCTGGGCTTAGCCGCAGCGCCAGGCTCCCTAATTACAATGGAATTGTCTGGCACTGGGGGTGAGGGGGGCGTGACCGACTGGGAAGCAGCTCCTAGGGCCTTGGCATGATGGGGAGAGAGGGGGCTGGACCCGCTCACAGCACCTGCCCCTGGAGCACAGGTGGGGCCTGCAGCTGCTGCCAGGGCCCAGGGGAGGGCAGCCCCTGAGACAGGTGTGCAGGGGCGAGCCTGCGTTGCCAGGGCCTTGAGATGCTCTATGGGGGCACAGGAATGGCACCCTCAGGCTGACTGGCTGAGCTACTGGGGGCTCCGTGCCCTGCAGGCTGGTGGGCAGGAACGCGTGTCCACGGATGCATATCTCTGCTGCCCACTGTCTGCCAGGCCCCATCTCCCATCATGCGGCGGTGCGCTCGTTAGCTCACAGCGCTGGCCTTGGGGGGCAGAGGCCTGCCTGTGCCCTGAGCAGGAAAACACCCTCTCTCAGTCCCCTGCCCACCGGTTCTGCACCATCCCATGCCCCAGGGGGGCGGATGGGGGCAGGAATGTCTGAGACCCGCGGTCAGTGAGGAACCTCAGTCCCTGAGTTTTATCCACATTCCTGGAGGATTTGCAGTGTCCCAACCCCAGGCCAAGTCCCTGGCTGTACCCCACTCCCAGGCCTCGGCCCAAAGCACCTTCCTCTGTTCATGAACAGCGGGGGAACCTCAGAGAGAAAAGAACGGGGGCGCGGCCGCATCTGTGTGGGTGTCAGAGGCGAGGGGACTCCCGGGGGCTGGGAGGGAGGAGGGCTGGATGGGGAGGGGTGGGGTAACGAGGTCTGTAGTAGGGCTACATAGGAGAGGGCTCTCTCAGGCAGGCCTGGGAGCAGGGGGGTCTCTGCTGGGGACCGATGGGCAAGGTCTGCCTTGGGCTGGGGTCAGACGGGGCGCGCTCCTCTCCCTGAGTGCTTGGCCCAGCGGACGCCTCTCTCAAGCAGCTCTGGAGGCTGGGGCAGGCAGATGCTGCGGGAGAGAGGAGTAAATCCAGGGGCTTGCTCTGCCCAGCTCAGGAAAGAGAAACTGGGAATGTCTCGGGCTCCCACGCAGCCAGGCGCTTAGTGGGAGCCCTGGAGCCTTGCCCAGACCCACCCAGCGTGGCACTGAGGTGTCTGATGGGGTGGCGTGGTGGGGGGAGCCACTCTGCTCTCCAAGGGGGCCTGCGCAGGGCCCAAGAAGGGGGTGCTGGGCAGGCAGGTCTGATGGCTTTAGGAGGCTGGTGCCAGGAGCTGGGGGCCAGCGCGCTGCCCAGACAAAATCTCAGCAGCTTCTCACCATTACTGCTCTGTGCTCTTCAGGGGGGCCCTGACCCCCATGCCTGAGGGTGGATTCCCCAGGGACGGGCGTGAGCTGGGAGCTGAGCTTCCAAAAAGCTGCCCCTTGCACGGCCGGATCCCCGATGCCCGGGCAGAGCCAGGCCAGGCCCTGCCCACTGAGGACCAGAAACGTGGCCTCCGTCAGGCCAGTGTAGCCTCTGAACTGCAGAGCCATGGGCAGCATCACCAGTGCGGGGTGGGGCACGGCCCAGGCTTGGAGGAGCTGGAGGGATGGGGCGGGCGAGGCGAGCGGCCCGCACAGTGCACCCCCGGCCCCCAGGCCCTTTGTTCCTGCAGCGCCCGACTTCGGAGCTTGAAATAAACCCCAGGCGCCTCGGAGAACAATCCTCCCAGCGAGGGCGGCGGGCGCAGGGCCATGTTTATTCAAGGCCGAGTTCATTCCATTCCTGAAACCGAAAGCTGACAGCTGGCGCGTGTGTGACACCGCTGCCATCCCAACCATCCGCCCAGGAGATTCCAGCCGCCCAGCCAGGAGGTGGGAAGGGGCCTGTGCCCGGCCCCATGCCCCGGCCTGTGCCCTGGGTGCCATGGACGACAGGTGCCTGCGGGGGCCAGGTAACCTGACCCCATCTTGGCAGCAGGGCCAGGAGAGACGGTGCTTTGTCTGTGAGCGGGGACGGGGGCTCAACTCAGCCCGCTGGACTCCAGGGATGGGGGCATCAGTTCTCTTGCCCCGGGGGGCAATGAGCCCCAGGGGCTGCGCCACTCCCTGCCCCATAGGCAGGCAGCACGTTACTGGTGCCCGTGGAGAGGGCCCATGTCTGGCTCAGAAAGGCCTGAGGCCAACAACTAACAGGCATCTCGTCTCCTTGGGCAAAGTCCTGGCTGTGCATGGCCCCCTCGGTGCTGGGATCCTCCCTGTTTGCTTTGGCCGGGGGGCCTGATGCCTCTGCTCCCCATTTGGAGGCAGAGAGGGAAACAATGGCCATTGATGGGGAGAGGATCTGAAACAGCTTTATTGCAGCGAGGGGCGGGGAGGGAATGACAGGAGGGGGAAGGGCGGATCCGATCGGAGGGGGGCTGCCCCCCACCCCTGGCCGGTGTCGCGGATGGTCCCAGGAGTGGGGCTTGCTGGAGGCCGAGCCAGGCGGGCGGAGAGAGCCGGCGGCGTCTGCCCCGGGGCGGCGCTGAGCGGCCCTGGCGCGGGAAGAATATGTTTGATATTTAGTTGGTTTTCCAATAAAACAACCTAATATCAAACATATCAGCCAGCGGCAGGGGCAGGGGCAGGGTCCGGCCCTGGCACGCTGCGGAAGAAAAGAGGGAGAGCGTGAGGGTTAACGGCCCCCCCACCCCACCCCGGCTGGGTATGGGGCCTGCTCCCCCGGCTCCGTTCCGGCGCAGCGTAGAACCGGGGGGAGAGAAGAACGGACCCCATCCCCCCTTCCTCGCGCCCCCATCTGCCAGGCTCCTTCCCTGCCCCCTCCCCCATCGGTTCCATCCTGCGCAGCCCCTAGGGTGGGCTTCTTCCCTAGGGGGAGGGGAGCGGCGTTCACTGAGGCAGGGCGGAGACAGGACTCCTGGCTCTTGTTCCATTCATGGGCAAGTTCCTGCCCCACCCTGTGCCTCAGTTTCCCCTTCTGTACCTTGGGGCTAAGGGTCCTGTGTGGCTTTGTTCGTTGCTGTTTGTACAGCACCCTGAGAGCCCCGTGGGAGGGGGCTAGAGAAGGGCAGGGGGTCCCTGGGCCGCCTCTGAGGAGCCACGTGCCCCGTCACCACCCCCACTCAGCTCCCTGCCCCAGCGCACTGGGCTCCTAGGGAATTATTCCCAGTGGGAGTCTGTGTCCTGCCCCCTGTGGGCCAAAGCCATCCCCGGTGGAGCTGGCAACCACGGAGTCACCTGTCGGGGAACCTGGCCATGAGTGTGGTCATTAGAATTGGGAATGCTGCATCCACTGATACAGACCCGCCCCCATGCCTATATCCCTCCCATGATCTCCCTGTCCCCCCACATCCCACAGGCCCCCTCCAGTTTCCCCATGACCCTCCCCCATCCCCCCATTCCTCCCATGCCCCCCTCGCCCCCATGATCTTCACACACATTCCCCCCCATGCACACCCCTTCCCCCTACACCAGCAGGATCTAGGCCAGCAGG